ATATGACTAGAGTACTGATGATTATGGTATTGATTGATCATAAAACATCTATTTTAACATTTTAACATCAGTTAACAGTCTTTCATCTTTAAAGCACACACATTTCAGATTTTTTTCTTATTCATAGAATTTAGGAGCATAATTTAAATGAAACAAATAGCAAACATGACAAACTGAGTTTCAAATATTAGGCCTGTGAAATAATCACTAATTACAATGGCAAAATAATGCTGATTACATTTCCCCATACAGTAATGTCCAAGTAACTTTCCATTCCTTTAATATAATGGAGCCGAGGCCCCTGTCACCATATTGGATTCACCAGACAGGAAAAATATTAAGATCAAATGCACAATTTGGCCTAACCAATCTGATGCTTCAGAAAACTTAGGATGGCTAATCGACTTGCTTCAAGAAAATATGCAAGGGTCTTCGAGATTTATCATCTTTTGTAGGACAATTGCTGAATGTACCAGTGTACTTTGTCCAAGTCGTTGGAAGGCAGACAAGTCTTTTTGACATGCATAGCAAGATGAAAGATGCTATTAAGCAAGACATTCGTTTCAAAATGACTAAAGACAGTAAACTGTGTGTGTGTTGATCTGCACGAACACAGTTCGAATGGGTGTCAACTTTTACAATGTGAATCATGTTTTCACTATGGGCTTCCCTTTGAGCAAGATACTTTTGTTCAGCAAATGGGACAAGCAGGGTGTGATGGAACACCAGCTCATGAGCTTGTTCTCTACAAAGCTTATAAAGGCCGGCTTAAAAAAGTAGAAGGTGAAAAGTTGTCAAAGAAACATCTTGCCGCCATAAAATGGTTAGTCAATCTTACTGCAGCAGGCATAAGGTCATCACGGCGAAGCCTCCGTCTGTGCTCAGAATTGCGATTGTGATCTTGAAGAATGTCCAGAGAACCATGTGATGGTGGACTACGGGATGACACACAAAAGGATGACAGATCGGACATGTTTCAGCGAGAAGTGATGGATGATCAGTGAGAGTTACTGAGACATAAACTGAACTCTTACATGTTCAAATTGCTTTCAACAAGCAAAATAGTGAACCCAGATATTGTATTTGGAATCAATGAGGTCTTCCCTCTCCACGTCACCAAGCAACAGTTGGCAAAAAACGTCAACCTGTTGATGATCTCCAACAAGCACACCAAGCATTATTATTGAGTAAACGACTGCAGAAAGGTGCGTTTCTGAGACAGTTTTCTTATTTCCTCAGTGGACTCATTGACTGGGTCTATCAGAAAAATGCAGCCATTGTACCCAACCAAGACCTGGCCCTGAAACACCAATTTGCTGAGAATGTAAGGGAGGGTTGGCTTCGAGGAGAACTTAAACAGCTTGCTCGTCAGTCACCAAAGCTGACCTTCCTACAGCTTCGGGAAGAGGCTTTGAAGCTGAGTGAGGATGATTCGGCTAAAACTGAGTCATTTAGCAGGACCGTTTCAGCAGAGGTGAACAATAGAAAGGAGCTCCAAGATCTAAGAGAAGAAGTACAGAAATCCATCGCGGAACATAAGAAGCAGATAGACCAAGTCTTCTATGTTCCACAAGAGTTCCAAACAACCTTCACCTTACCAGCAAGGCTGCTATGTCTGTCGCAGCCAAAGGCAGTTTGCTCGTGATTGCCTGAATAATCCAAGGCAACCGAGAGCAAGAAGCTGCTATTACCAGCGAAGTAGAAGCGTTGATGGGAGCCAGCAACAGGCACAATTTCAGGGTAACCAAGGACTGGCTTCCCCTCATTTGCTGGAAAACTGAAACCCCTACTACCATGAGTCGGGTAGTGTTTGGGAGTGGTACAGGCTCTTATACCCATGTAAATGACTAAAGAAAGTAAACTGTGTGTGTGTTGATCTGCACGAACACAGTTCGAATGGGTGTCAACTTTTACAATGTGAATCATGTTTTCACTATGGGCTTCCCTTTGAGCAAGATACTTCTGTTTAGCAAATGGGACAAGAAGGGTGTGATGGAACACCAGCTCATGAGCTTGTTCTCTACAAAGCTCATAAAGGCCAGCTTAAAAAAGTAGAAGGTGAAAAGTTGTCGAAGAAACATCTTGCCGCCATAAAATGGTTAGTCAATCTTACTGCAGCAGGCATAAGGTCATCACGGCGAAGCCTCCGTCTGTGCTCAGAATTGCGATTGTGATCTTGAAGAATGTCCAGATAACCATGTGATGGTGGACTACGGGATGACACACAAGAGGATGACAGATCGGACATGTTTCAGCGAGAAATGATGGATGATCAGCGAGAGTTACTGAGACATTAACTGAACTCTTACATGTTCAAATTGTTTTCAACAAGCAAATTAGTGAACCCAGATATTGTATTTGGAATCAATGAGGTTGTCATCAGCACAATCATGGACAACACAGGGGTGGAAATAACTTTAAAATTGCTAGAGTACTCCGGTACAGTGTCACATGTAAAATCACTTGTCCTGATAATTTTTCCACTATAGAGGCCGTTTTCTTGTTGATTTTTTACATAAACAACATTATTAACATTGGAAAGTCAACTGGACACCGGTACAGTGTGATATACAAATTTGCTTGCCCAACAGAAAAAAACACTGGACTCAGACGTCGGGCAATGGGTTATTTCCACCCCTGTAACAGATGTCGACACCTGCTGGCCATCGATGACATCATCAAAAATCTTCCTAGTTGGTCCTACAACTGAGCAAGAGAGAGTATGTGGGAAGATATGACTTGAGTAACCTCTGTGGGAAGAGAATGGGTAGTAACTGGACTGTAGACAAAGTATTAAATCTCACCATCCACATGGCCAAATATCGTCCACTCAGAGGATCCAGTTATATTCCCTTTCCCATTTAGTTGCGGTCGAAACATGCCATTATCAATGTGAAGAACAAGGACTGAAAATGAAAGACCCACAGCGTGTTGCCAAATACAGGAATCATGTTGCAAACCTGGATTTCTCTGGCATAGCCTTTCCAGTCAAGTTGGCTGATATTCCCAAGTTTGAGACCCAAAACCAAATATCCATCAAAGTCTTTGGCTACAAGAAGAAAGAGGTCTTCCCTCTCCACGTCACCAAGCAACAGTTGGCAAAAAACGTCAACCTGTTGATGATCTCCAACAAGCACACCATGCATTATTGTTGAGTTAACGACAGCAGAAAGGTGCGTTTCTGAGACATTTTTTCTTATTTCCTCAGTGGACTCATTGACAGGGTCTATCAGAAAAATGCAGCCATTGTACCCAACCAAGACCTAGCCCTGAAACACCAATTTGCTGAGAATGTAAGGGAGGGTTGGCTTCGAAGAGAACTTAAACAGCTTGCTCGTCAGTCACCAAAGCTGACCTTCCTACAGCTTCGGGAGAAGGCTTTGAAGCTGAGTGAGGATGATTCGGTTAAAACTGAGTCATTTAGCAGGACCGTTTCAGCAGAGGTGAACAATAAAAAGGAGCTCCAAGATCTAAGAGAAGAAGTACAGAAATCCATCACGGAACATAAGAAGCAGATAGACCAACTCTTCTATGTTCCACAAGACCTTGCTACAGCTGCAGAGTTCCCAGCAACCTTCACCTCACCAGCAAGGCTGCTATGTCTGTAACAGCCAAAGGCAGTTTGCTCGTGATTGCCTGAATAATCCAAGGCAACTGAGAGCAAGAAGCTGCTATTACCAGCGAAGTAGAAGCGCTGATGGGAGCCAGCAACAGGCACAATTTCAGGGTAACCAAGGACTGGCTTCCCCTCATTTGCTGGAAAACTGAAACCCCTACTACCGGGTCGGGTAGTGTTTGGGAGTGGTACATGCTCTTATACCGATGTAAACTTAGGATAGTCATACAGGGGTGCAATATGGATGACGTGGTCATCCCAGATTCTGTATTGAACCCCTGCCGGTTCTACTGATTTGTTTTATTAAGTAACAGTTTAATGCAAGATCAGAGGGTATATAATAAATATAGAATGTCATACTTGTGCATTTGGATGTTTTGTATTGAACTCGAAGATGACATCTTCGAACTCGTTGTTTCTCTGCTCCCATGACATCTTCGAGTTCAATACTAAACATCCAAATGCACTGGTATGACGTTCTATATATATCCATGCCAGGCAGTTTGCAAAGCCAAGATATTTCCCATATAGTGGCTGATTGTCTGGTAAGTAGAATCTCCATGTGTGGAGTGAGTGAGTGAGTGAGAGTAAAAATTTAAAGTCACATCGGCAATTTTTCAGCCATATAGTGACTAAAACTAGTTCTAAATTGATAATACAAACATATAATATATAAACCCTGTCAACGATCCATGGGTGGAATGGAAACCAATTGTTTATTGGCTACAGGGTCAGTGGTAACCACGATTACAGAAGATTTCTTCAACCATTTCTTCAAGTCACGTGGTACTGAACTTCTCCAAAAACAGGGATGGCACACATTTAAGGCAGCCAATTGTTTGGAGATACCATATATTGATCCAAGTACCAAGCTGTTGGAATCCATTGACTTTTAATTCTTAACAGTTCTTATTTCCTTAAGAAGTTCTAAATTTAGCAGGCAGGAATTGTGGCATATGTAGAATTATGTAAGGTGATCAATTAACCTCGTTATTATTGTCAGTGTAATCGAATCAGAACCCGTGGAATAAAGTGGTACACTTCTGCCCACCATTACACTAGTCACGTTATATTTTGTTTGTGGTAAAAATACCACAGCAGTCATCATAGAAACCTGTCCGTGATCGCTATTAACCAGAATCTCTACTACAGTAAAGATCCCTCTCAGTGGAGGAACTGTCATTACCAGGTCCTGTTCAACAACCAACTAAATGTGACACTGGCGTAAGCAGTTTCATTCATGGGTTGAAGCTAGCCGTGTAGAGCAATAGTAAAGTGTATTTGTACATTTTAAGAGACATCTGTATAGATGTAAGGGTGGCTTGGGGTGGCTCTCCAACCCACGTCCATTCTACATGCACATTGATATTAAATATTATTCATAGAAGTTGTATATTGTTGTTGTTTATTTCGCCCAAATAGTTTACATTCACATGTGCTGGTCCCCTTATACAAGTGGATGACTTGGGGTTTTTGTTTATCATGGTGCCGACCCATGCTATACCAGAACAAAGGGGATGCTATATCCGTGAACTGTGACCTAGTTAAACACATGGGAGGGAGGGGCATTACCCTTGTGACGTCATTAGCGTAGGTAGTCTCTCGAATTTAGGGAGGCTACCCAACCTCTATGGAAGATTACATAGTTAATGGTGTGCCAGCAGTTAGGTTTGGCAAACTACTGGGCTAACTACTCACCCTTATTATAACTAACTGATATTGGTCTGTTCCAGCTTATTGCACAAGTCCAGATCAGTTTGACCACTCTCATGTTCCCCCTTCACCTGAACACGTGACTCGGCTTTCTCACCATCTTCCGTGGAAACCTTTTCCACATCACTCGACATCTCCCCAGACTTTTTGTTCACCTCACCCTCTTCTTCAATTTTCTTCTTCTCAGACCCAGTACCCTCTTCAGCCTCTTCCTCAGATTTGGGTTTCTCATCTGCATCTTCAAACGCATTCTCTGTTCCCTCGCCCACCCTTGTCTCTGCGTCATCCACATAGATGATGTCTTCAGGGTTGGGAGGCTTAGGAAGGAACTCTTCATCGGGACAAATCTTCTCCCATATTTTCCTGGCATGAAGGACAATATCATCCATATCTATCTCTGTCCCTGGGCCTGGCAGAAGGTAGACGTTTGATGGAGTTGAACTTGAAGGTGTCACGTCTGACTGATCGTCCCGGCTGTAGAACACTGACCACAAGATGCATGGTTTTTCATCCGTCTGCTCTGAACCAAAAAAAGTTGTTGATGGCCGGCAAAAGATCAGCTTCAGGGTCACCACTTCCTGTACGAGTTAAATGGACAACGAACGAATCCCTCGGACAAACCATCGATGATGGGGGTAATTCCAAAATGGTGATTGGTCGAGCTGGATCATCTTCTGGCAGGAGGTGTAACATGGAAAGTTCGTGATTTTCTGAAGTCAGAACAGACTTGTTAGTAATCAAAATGGCACGAGAGATTTTTTGAATCAGAAGCTTTGTCCTTCAGTGTATCAGGAATGTAGGATGGTCCAAGGATAAGATGCTTGCATTCGATTCTCTGTCCCTCTGTTGTGTGTATTGCACAGCACTTGTTGTCCTGGTCTACAATGATATCAGTGGCTGACATATGCAGGCAGTACACGCCACCAAACACAGCACACAGACGACAGAAACCTTGTGGTATTTCTCCGCTTCCATACAATGGAAACAAGAATGCTGTGTTTCCATAACGACCAAGAGACTGCAGAAAGTGCTTAGTATTCTTCAATCCTTCTTCTGTTGTTGTTGCCTCTGTTGCCATAGCAATGGAGTGATAAACAAAGTGATGAGTGTTGTGCGTCAGCTTCTTGAAATTCAAAAACTCAGAAAAGGGTTTTTCAGCATAGTCTTGATACTGATCAGCATATTTTTCATATTCAGCACAGAAAGTGAGAAACTTCATCAGCATCCGTTTCTCCAGCATTGACACCTTCTTGCTACTGAAAACGTCAGCTCGCGAACATGGCACTTTCTCTAACTGACCGTTGAGGAGTGTGAGCATTCGACTGACAGTCCTGAACTCACAATATTTTGCAACATCGGAAACAATCAGCAATTCCACCATCTGTCCGCTGCAGTACAAAACTTTCGGTGCAAGGTCAAGGTTGAATCTCCGCCAGTTTTCCTTTATTTCATTAGCTGTCCAGATTTTCTGGGCTGGCTTGGATTCTTTCTTCTCAGCTTGCTCCTGTTCTTTAGGTGTTTCAGATGGCTCTACTTCTTTCTTGTCATCAAACTGTCCTTCACCTTCAATATCAGACTGAGGAAGTTGTTCTGGTGAAGCACAAGTTTCTTGACCGTCGCCAGTCTCAGCTGCAATGATCTCTGTGGTGTCAATTTCTTCAGCAACATGATATTGCACTTTGATTTTACTTGTATCTGTTGGAAATCCAGGCATTGAAATGACCCTCTCACCATCTTTCAGCTCGGGGGATTTCTTGTCCTGCTTTTCATTTTCCTGCTCTGCTGCCTGCAGGAGTAAAACAGTTTGAATTAGAGACTGTGTAATAAGACATTTTAGAGCTGATATACCAACTGATAGGAAATCTTTATGTATTAATTATTCTGTACATGTATTGATATAATATACAGGGTTTTACACAGACTTTTAAAAATTGGTGTCATGGTGACTCACAATATTTAAATTTGGGAGTCATTTTCAATATTTGGGAGTCATTTTCAATATTTGGGAGTCATGAAAATTTAATATTTCTTTGTGTTAATCATTCTCAGTATGTAACTGTGTATGCCACACCACCAAATGCAACTTCAGCATTGTTCAATTCAAACAGCCAGGATTACTGTCCCCTCTGAGTTCTCTGGAACAATCTGACAGCTCTGTAAAAGTCAAATAATCATCGAACAATATCATTTTTTGCTTATCAAATCGATTTTATTGAACTGAATTTTGAGGGCCACCTATAAAACTTGCATCAAGCTTGACTCGTATGATAGTATTTTGAGAGTCGTTAACACAATTGTTGCGTCAAATACGCAGGAATCATGTGTCATGTAAAACCCTGAATATAACTATTTAGACCAATAACAAATCAACTCAATGCTCAATATGAAATAGGCTGATCCATCAAATGTGTAAAAAGTTTATCTTGTGGCTGTCCACATTAGCTATGAAAGTCAATAAATGTAAATGCTTCTGTGGTACTAGAGATGGGTTTATTTAGCGCTGATAATTTTTAAGTTGTTTTGACTCAGTATGGACATTAATGAATAAATGTGCTATACATCAATATAGCATAGATGCCAACCCCAAAGTGTAGCAAATGGTAGTTTCAAGGATCAAAATTAGTAGTTTGACCATAAAATTAGTAGTCAACTAAATACTAAAAATCAAGATGGATTCTGAGAAAGATAATATGACACTAATCAAGAGTGAATATTTAATTTCACATACCAGTTTCGTATAATCGAATGGAAGGAACGGTCATGTGCTTAAATCATTCCAATAGGATCGTCATTTTCAGCCGGTACACAATAAGTGGGTCAAATCGCAAAGGTATTGAAATCAGCTTCAGATTTCTCATAGACAATTTCGCTAAAATTACGTTTGTTACTTGCAATGATTCCAGTTCAAATATGTCATTAAAGTTGATGAATGGAAGGCAAGTTAAGTCGAAAACTATATTTAATCGACGAAAATATATGTTCTTGTCTATATATCCGAATTTAAATGAATTTTCTTCAAATTTCGTAGAATTTCTTGTACAATAGTATTGGCATAGTTTGAGGCTTAAAATTGTAGCGACTACAATACATTTGTAGAGGTTGGTAGCTCTGATATAGTGATATTACATTTTTAATTTCAGATAACAATCACGTTTTCTGCACATGCATTTTACCAGACACCCTATCAGTCATACCAGTTTGATGATGCTGTTATTACCTAAGATAGTGTCACTATTAGAAAAATATCCCATAATAAGGAGGAACAATGACTCTGCTGGTATTTCTATAAAATAATATGACTGAACCTGGAAACTTAATATCAAAGAGAATAACATCAACCATGAAAAAGAATTGAAAACAGAAGTTGTATAAGGGCATTGCAACAGACAAGAACTCATCTGTTTTAGTTTGTACTAAATGACATTATTTTATGAAAAATAATTTGGCCTTACTTGTCCCAATTCTACATAGGCCTAAACATTAATAAATATACACGAGTTATTAAAAATGGATCACTGTAATTATGGATGACCAATATTAAAGTGATATCATGAGAGTATTTATTTGCATTTTTCAAATGGATCATTAGATCAATATTTAAATATTTGGTGGTTTAAATCTCACCTCATTCCGTACTTTCCATTTGTCAATACCTCCAGTGTTAAACGATGCCCATGTGTCACTGTAGAAATCATTCCTGTCGATGTGCAGGACTTTGTAACCATTACGTGAAAATGCTGCAGCAAGTATGCTTTCAGGAAGTCCTGTTCCTAACACGACCACGTCAAACTCAGATGGGAGGTCAGAAGCCATTTTCGCTGGCTTTACCCTCGAATGTGTGCCTTTGACTAGCTGGATTATTCACGTGAACATGACAGAATGTACCATGTCACTTGACCGTCATTGTACGAAATTAGGATTTTTGTGGCATATAAACCGGAACTGGCGCAGGTCGCCTTTCTGCTCTGAAGCAGTGTTTGAACAATATAATCAACGTGGTGAAGGTCTGATTCACCACTGTGCGGGGAGTTTCCCATCCTCTTTGCAGGTGCCCCTTAATTTAGGATTCGCTCAAGCACCAACAGTGTTACGAGTTGTATAAGGCAATGTGCGTTTACTTCATGATTATTAAATATAGTAATCGATGTTAAACAATTTTATACTTAAATGTGAGAAACACTCAACAGATTAAACAAATTCACCAAAACAAACAGCGGTAGGCTGGCTTAATTGTTTTCTTCATATAGTTACATTTACCACTCCACATACATGTCCCAGGTGGTCTAGTGGTTAGGATTTGGCGCTCTCACCGCCACGGCCGGGGTTCGATTCCCCGTCTGGGAAGATGTTTTTTTTTTTCCCTATTTTTCTTACAATAGGAAATGAATTTAATTTGTTTCAGCAATCATGCAAAGTTGAATACCAATGGACCTAAGCATCATGTATATCAATAAACAAATAACGTTACACCACATCAACCCACACTGCACAGTTTTCACGAGAGTATAGACTAATAACTAGTCTCTGACATGAACATATTTTACAGAAAAAAGGTTTATAGTGAAAAACAAAACAAAATATAACAAAAGGAGCCCTGAGACTTTCTTCATTTTCAGAGACTAAACAAATCTGTAGAGGGATAATTTCATTTAATTTCATAACATTTACAATGGTTCTTATCACCCACTACTGCTGAAATTGTGTGTGACAGGAATATTTATTGCCCCCACCGCCTCCCAGTCCTACTGTCAGTGGTGTGGAGCGTTTTGGGGTAATGAGTATCAAGTGTCGCCAAATCTATCTTGAGAGCAAGCGGGGACATACCAGCTAACGGTAGCATCTCTTGATATTCCCATGGCTGGACAACTGGAGCTCACAAAAATTCCAAAATTACTTATATTCTCCAAAATCCAAAGGTTCTGTCTGCACTATATGTGGAAGTTTAATTGATGTTGAATCGAACAGGAGAAAATGTCTGTTTTTTTATTGGAAGTACAAGACAGAGCCATGTCTTCTTCTGATCGAAATATGTTCACAGGGAATGTTCTACACATACTGTGTATAGAAAATGCTTAGGTGAGGTCACTCGTGTGGACAATACTTTGTGCCTTGAAAAGAAATCTGTAATTAATGCTGAAGGGGTCGTTGTCGGCACAGGTACTACATTATGTACCCCAGGTCCGTTTTTGTATACAGAAATGTACTTTAAACAAAGTCAAAATACAGAAAAGTACCGGGTACCCCTAACGGCGGACGAGTCCATATTCCGACATCCAAAACCGAAACCGTATGTAGTTGTTCCCGTTCAACTGATTCTGAGTGGTATTCATGTGCATCGCGAAATATCCGTTACTGTGTATTCTCATTACTTACATAACGCAATCAAATGTATCTAATACAACAGCATGACAGTTCCGGTCAAGAATACGACACAGTGGGAATGGAATCGTCCTAGGGTACGTTTCTGTATTCTCATTATGGCCTGGGGTACATATCTGTAGTACCCGTGCCGACAACGACACCTTCAATGTAATTAATGTGTACCATTACTACCAATCCTGTGGAACAGAAGTGAAAAACATGTACAGTAGGATTCAAATAGTATTTCTTTGGCAAAAGTAGAGACCTTAGATGTTGGTATACATTACATACTAATAAACAATGGTTTTCGTCTTCAATATATCTGTCTTTGCACACAAGACATAATCTATCAACTTTAGTTTCTTTAACATATCTGCCAGTTTCAATTCGTGAAGAACATCTAAATTGAGCAAACGCGGCCCTGAATTTTGAAATAGTGAGTCTTTTCATATACAATTCTAAGCCAAATGATGATTTAAACGAAATAATAGGTTGAATATTTAGTGCTGCTATCGAAGGCTGCATGCCCATCTTGCTCATAAGGTATACAAACACCGACATAAAATTTCTAACACTAACTACACATTGTACGTACCAGTGATAGCAAAATCCATACATGTAGAGAATATGATTTATTTTAGCGGCCCAAAAGAAAAGAAATCGTTTACGTGCAAACATTTGTAAAATTTCAACTTCTTTAGAATTATCTAAGCCCCTTATTTCCGAACCATAGAGGAGAATAGGACTAATTTTAGAGTAAAAAATCTTGAAAAATAGATCAGATGGCAATTGATTAAGTATATGTAAAGATTTAAGTACACTATACAAAATGTTTTTTCACTAAAGTCATGGATAAAGTCACAAATGCCCACATCGTTGAGGTACACTGCTTTGAGCCTAATGATTTATATTTCTCTGTTTGTTTCTTCATCATGGCAATCAAGGGTGACACAACAATGACAGTAGAATGGCTTGTATTTTCTACTGCCTTGTATAAATAGGGAGAATTTCGAATGTCAGTGAGTTTCCACTCCTGATGGGAGAACAAAACAAAGCATCTTCACCACTAAAGTAGCTTTCAATCATTGCATTCTGAGTTGGACAAATGCTATGTATATTTGCTTTCATCCTCATCAAAGTTCCAATTCATTTTTACCCTGAGATGGAAAACATTTCGAATCATCCCCTCTCCTCACCAGTGTAAAATGAAATACTCAGATTTTGTCAGTCATCAGGTCTCTAGTGTAATCACACATGTTGTTTCTCTGGAGTGAGAGGACAGGGCAGAAGCAGGAGGCCTTGGCTCAGTGTGGTGTCTTGGGGAGTGGTGGGGGAGGCTCCCATGAGTTAATATTAAACACTAGTGACAGCTAGAGATCAACTGATAATTACAAGCCATATTCTGGCTTGTGAATTCAGCAGATTGGTACAGACCCTGAAGCTGTGGAAATCTAGACTTAGGGACCGTCCATAATTTATGGCTTTTGGGGAAAGGAGGATGATGATGATGATTTTTATGGAGAAGCATGCCCCCCCTAAAATGTATGTACAAAATTAGTGACCCCCAACTCCCCACCCCCAACCCCTTGCATCTCATGTACAAAACCAATGACACCGCCTCACCTTCCCGTAATTTCTAAGCATAATTTTAAACTTATTTTTATGTACAAAATTGCTGAAACACCCTCCCCACCACCAGTAGGTGTTTTCAAAATTGATGACCCCCAATCATCAAAACACCCCACCCCCACCCCCATAAATTATGAACGGTCCCTTACCACATTTTCTAGACCCTGCTTCAGGGTCTGTATGACAGACTAACGAGAGTGTTAATGGTCATTAAATAAATAGACTTACTGAGGGAGAAACAGTGATAGTCTGTTGCAGCAAACTATTGCGATAGTGATAGTGTATTGCGACCAACTATTGCAATACTATTGCAATAGTTTTCTCACTTTGAAATTTCTCATTCAAAGTCATTTCCCAAATGAATGTATAGTTCAATAGTTTATATGAAATAAAAACAAGTTGAAGTATGATGTCTTTCAGTGGCATTTAGAAGTTGTACATTGATGTCCAAGATATTTTTTATGGATTAAAAAATAGATGGGTAGTGAGAGAAATTAAAAAAGAAGTTTAAGTGAGAGAAATTGAAAATTAAAATTAAAAAAAGAAGTTTAATCCATAAAAAATATCTTGGACAAGTTGAAGTAGTTTCGGTCTCTTTAATAACTGACAAGAAACTTGAAGCCCAGAGCAAGTAAACAGTTAAACTCAATGAAGCTGCAAGTCTGCACCCAAACATCCTGTATTTTGCTCTGCGCATTTATCAACGGAAGTCAATTACTAAAATATCTATAGTCACACATACTATCGGTGCATCGATAGTTTTTCGTTTCTACCATCGATTAATTGCTATCGGAGACTCAACAATTGCAATCCATCCATAGTTAGATGCATCGTTACAGCCCCAGACGACCCACTATCAGGCATGTAGACTGTATGCGTTGGGACCATTCGATCGGTACTAAGTATCGTAGGCATTTTGGAACAGTGTTTATCAGGCATATCTATGATATTCCTTGAGCTATGTAAATTGAATATCTCTCTAAGTAATGACCATGCTGTCAATGGAAATGGAATCAATGCAGCTTGACCATTGTCATCATGGCCACGACCCGTGAAGATCCGGGGTAGAATAGGTCTTCAGCAACCCATGTGCTTGCCATAAAAGGCGACTATGCTTGTCGTAAGAGGCGACTAACGGGATCGGGTGGTCAGTTTCGCTGACTTGGTTGACACATGTCATCGGTTCCCAATTGCGCAGATCGATGCTCATGCCGTTGCTCACTGGATTGTCTGGTCCAGACTCGATTATTTACAGACCGCCGCCATATAGCTGGGATATTGCTGAGTGCGGTGTAAAACTAAACTCACTCACTCATCATGGCCACCATTATAGAGTCATATCTAAATTGGTCTTTGTTCTTTCGCCGATTACTACTAGATATGAGAAATTTATGTCAAATTTTATCAAACAGTTGCAAAAAAAAAGCTAGCCAATGTTTGATAAGCATTTGTATTTATCTACCTGTTAATATATGCACTTATTTCTGTATAGGGAACTTTACATATGTATAAGGAATTATTTACTGTATTCAGTTGTCTGTCTAAGACGCATGCATATGAACTGTACATGAATTGTTGTTAATATATGCTCTTGTACCACCGACGGTGGTTTTCTGAGAAACAAAATAGTCAATAGTCAATAAGCTGCATATAATCAAAGTTAGACAAAGGCTGGTTGGCCACTGAAGCATGACATTGTGGATGAGGCGCGGGATACTGCAGGCTGACCACACATCTGTCACAAATACGCCACGTGACAGTCTGATGAGGATTCGACCCTTAGGGATAAATTTAGTCTGTTGTACAGACCCTGAAGCAAATATATCCAAGAAAGCCCACACAAGTCTAGAAAATGTGGCAAGTCTAGATTTCCTCAGCTTCAGGAGAAAAGGAAGAAAGTCTCAGGGCTCCTTTTCATTATGTTTTTGTTTTTTTTACTATTAACTGTTTTCAGTAAAATATGTTCATTTCAGAGACTAGTTGTTAGTCTAGGATAAATTGAGAATGCTTTGT